AATAATAATTATAATAATAATATAATAATAATAGACCTTATAATAATAAAATAATAATAATGATAATAGTAATACTGATAATAAATTAATAATGATGATGATGATGTTGACAATAATAATAATAATAATAATAATAATAATAATAATAATGAATGATAATGTTGATAATAATAATAGTAATTATGATGATAATGATAATTTTTAAGAAAATGAAAATAATAATACAATAGTAATAGCAATAGTGTTTACGCTAAGAATGTAGAATACAATAAACGTCTATCCACGGTCACAAAAAAGTTTTATGGGGGATGGATTGTTTATCAGTTGTCATAAGATGGGAACTTTTCCTGTTCTGTACAATTGTTGGGAAATATCAAACTCTGTACAGTTAAACCTTCTCTGACAGTCGCCTTTATAAGACCTTTGTGGCATCAGTGGCCTAGTGGTTAGGCTCTTGGACTCGCAACCGTAAGGTCGTGGGTTCGAATCCCATCAGGGGCCCGACGTTGTGTCCTTGGGAAAGGCACTTTACTCGAGTTTTCCTCACTTCACCCAGGTGGGAATGGGTACCTAGCTATAGACAGTGAAAGATCTTGTCAGTTTGTTAGTGTTTGAGCGCTTAATCAGCTGCTTCCACTGTATGCTTCCCGGGAAACTGAGAATGTTTCGGAGTGTTCTATGGTCTGCTGGGGTAATAATATAGTGTAAAGCGCATAGAGCCTGCTGTTGAGCGGGGATATGCGCTATACAAATGCTATTTATTATTATTATTATTAAGACAAAAGACAAATACCTGTGGGAAGGGGCACTTCCCACTTACACTCGACCCTCCAACTCCCCCTCCCCTTTTTGCATTTCTTTTAGATTCCAATGACAGTGTACATAAATGTCCTTCAGTCAAAGACAATTACTTATCTCTCACAGTGGGTGGTCGTCTCAAACAACTAAGACTGTATATGATGCCTTTTCTGAACATGCATGTTCTTATGTGTAATGTTTCGTTGTTGTCATCATTATTGTTTTTATCATTTTTTAAATTGTTGTTGTTGTTGTTGTTGTTGTTGCTGTTATTATTGCCAGCATTGTCAATTGTGTCGCCCATGTCCTGAGGTATTATTTATATTTTCAATAATAATATAATATTATCATTTCAACTATCTAATCATTTTGACTATCTAAATTTATTCAAGGGGGGAGTGAACAATTTTTCTGCCGGAAGAGCACAACATTTTAATGGTTTGTCCCCTTTGAAAATTTGTCTGAATCTGCATATCGGGGGGGGGGGGGGGGGGGGGGGTATTTTGGTTACGGGTTTTTTTTTTTGTTTTTTTTGGTGTCAAATGCTCAAGAGGTAAGTCTTAAGCATTTGTCACATGAGTTCTGCTCCCTGACACCTTGTGAGTGTTGGAGGAAGCAATTGATACGTCTTATTTCTTTTTTCTGTTTGTCAAACCTTTGCCATGCAATTAATGACCATTATACCGTTATTTTTTGTCAATGTGGTATTTTTTGCTTGTACTGCTACTCTTCTTTTCATCTTCACATTATTATTTTTATTAAAATCTGCTGTAATTATTATGATTATAATTACAATTTTTATTATTATTATTAGGCCTATTGTTATTACTATTTATTGTAGTTATTATTATTATTATCATTATTATTTTTTTTGGTTATTATCATTATTAATATTATTATTGTTATTATAATAATAATAATTATTATTATTATTATTATTATTATTATTATTATTATCGCCATTAAGTTGCCCAAAGCTCTTCACTCCACCCAAATGGTAATAGAAGGAAGTAATGCTGGGGATCCTGTAAAAATAAACTGAGCACAGTATGTTGTATAGACCTCGCACCATACTAAAATTCAACCAAACATTTAAAGAGTGCTCGTTGTTTCTTTCCTTTCAGAAAGAAAAGTTCAGAAATGGAAGGGCAGTTCGGGCAACAGGAAAACATCATTGCAGACTACACAGGGCTCAGGAAAACTCTCTTCCGACAAGAATCCTTCCCCAAAAGTCAGCTCAAAGGAAAAGCCAAAAGCTTCAAAGAAGAAGAAGAAGAGGAAGAACAGAAAGTCAAAACTCTCTGCCAAACAGGATTTCCTATCCATGTTGAATTGAAAGAAATGTGTGAATGTCTGTCTGATGTTTGATAGAAAGATATTCGGTGTGGATGAATTATGATGAGTGATGGCTGTCCTTTTCAGTGTTTATCTTTTATAAAATTATGGAAATTATAAGATGGAGAGAGTGAGAGAAGGAAAGAGAGAGAGAGAGAGAGAGAGAGAGAGAGAGAGAGAGAGAGAGAGAAAGAGAGAGACAGAGAGAGAGCAAGCATCCTGTATCCAGTGTTCTCTCCAACCTTTAATTAATAGCACATAATATATCGCCCATCACCCACAGCTTTATCTGAATCGCAATTGTAGATGACGAATGTTATTTCAGTTCTTACTGTTCGATTATATCGCGTTGGATTTAGAAATGTGTTACTCTTGAACCTGCTTTTATATTGGCTCAACTTATTAATAACAGTAGAGGAACAGGAAAATAACTATTCTCAAGTGTATGCAATTGAACTGTTATTAAATTTATATAGGTGCATCATACCAGATTGCCACTCAAGTTAATAAGAAAGAAACACATGAAGAGTCACATGCAAACTATTTTATATCCAGTGAGTAAGAAAGAAACACATGAAGAGTCACATGCAAACTATTTTATATCCAGTGAGTAAGAAAGAAACACATGAAGAGTCACATGCAAACTATTTTATATCCAGTGAGTAAGAAAGAAACACATGAAGAGTCACATGCAAACTATTTTATATCCAGTGAGTAAGAAAGAAAAACATGAAGAGTCACATGCAAACTATTTTATACCCCCAAAGAAAAAAAACAAAAACAAAAAAACAACTAATGGGAGTCTTAGGATTTGATGCTTTCTCTCTACTTTTGGATGCAACAATGCATTAATTCACATTATGCCAAAACTCAAGACTGCTGTGCTTTAGATAGATTTTCACTGTGTACACTTCTATTGTATGCAAAGGACCCACAGGGTACCATTCTAGTTCCAATTCATCTTAGACTTCAAATAGCAAACTCATAATTTCAGAGCTATATAGTTCCGAAGTTAACTGTTTGCAATGCAGCATTGTCAAGTTCTTAACTTAAAGCCCAACTGAAGTTTATAATAATATCATAATGGTAATATGTTGTGCAAAGGTTTGCACAGAGGTATACTCGCATGTTCTGAAAGTACGTCAGAAATTAATATAACTGATAATGACATATCTTGAATATGACTCTGAAAGTTTCCCTGTTGGAGCACTTCTTTTTCAATGTTGGGGGACGAAGATAAAGGCGTGCTCCAACAAGGCCAACACTTGTCATCACTTGTCCTACCGGTACTCACTTTCCCTTGTTTTATTATCCCCATATCTATAGGACAATCCTCGTGTCTGTACTGCCATGATTACCTCCTCATTGCTGCTCGCAGAAGATCTGAGTTCAAAGCTCACATGGGAATGGGTTTTAAAAAATGTTTTAATTAATTTTTTTTTTTAAATTGAATAATTCCGTCAATCTGTTTAGAATGTTGGATCTCATAATACTTAAGTTTTCCCTGATTGACAGTATCAAAGCAGCCTGCCTCTTAAGTATTGTTAACGGTGTAGATGTAGAAAGGTTCATGGAACATTTACAATCATTTACTAGCACTACAACTGGAGAGTCGAGAGGTTCTGTGCATCCTAAAGCTCATGAAACTTCTTAATAATAATAATAATAATAAATAATAATAAATAGCATTTGTATAGCGCATATCCCCGCTCAACAGCAGGCTCTATGCGCTTTACACTATATTATTACCCCAGCAGACCATAGAACACTCCGGAACATTCTCAGCTTCCGCGGAAGCTTTCTTCTTACTTCTCCTTTTCCATTTATGAATTCTTTTGCTGATGTTTTTGTTTTTTCATGGCATCTGACTGAAGAGTACAACATACCCTGCAATTCTGCAATTAATATTTTAGATTTTGTAGAAATAAGTCTGATATTATTAAAGGATATCATAATAGGGCTACTTTCGTATTTCTGCCTGAGTTGAGTGTGATTTATTGCTGTTTATCTTCGAGAAACTGCAAAATGTTGATTTTTCATAATCATTATTCTGTTCAGCAGAATTATTTTATAGGAAGCAATACGTTAGTCATAATCAGTAGGTCTTTTAATGCCAACAAATGGTCATGTTGAAGTTGGACATTATACGGAAGACTCCACCATATGAACAAACGCACTGTGTTGAATGAAGACAGCTGTGAACTATATATAGTATAACATAATCCACACATTTTTTTTCTAAACTGGATGAGAGGTAGCGATGAAAGTATTACTCTTTTACCCAACATCTTGTCTTATTTTTCTTTTGTTTTGTTAAAATTGATAACATGTCTGAATTTCATTCCAAATTATGCAACCATTGTGTGCTTGTCTGTGTGTATTTGAACATAGTGCCTTTATAATATGCAGTTGGAAAGAGAAAAAAAAGGGTATTGTCTCTTTGAGTTTAAGTTGAATTTAACAGGAAAGGAAAATTCAATTTGATGCTATTTTTTTTGTGAAGCATTATCTCTTTTCAGGAGTGGGATAGTTTTATCTGTGTACTTTAATTGTAAAATGGAGCTATAACATAAATTCAGTGACAAGTTTAACATTGAAGAACAATCTTTCTGCTTCGTTCTTAGTTAATATAATGGTACCTTGACGTTGTATTTGAATGTGGCTGGCTATTTAAGAGATCATGTCTTTAATGTTTTCTGCACTGTACACTTATGATCTCACACACTCACACACATACACACACACACACACTCACACATGCACATGCATGAACACACACACACACACACACACTCTCACAAATATAAACATGCGCACGCACACACACACATACACACACATATGCATACACATTCACATACACTACCGCACTCCCACTTACAATACAAACAAATAACGCACACACATATATGTGCGTTCATGCACCCACACACACATGCACACATATACACCATTCTTATTGTGTTGCAAGTGCTGTAAAACACTTACTAAAGCATTCTTGTCCTGTCCTGAAATTCATTTTCCTTTTATCTGATGAAGACCTGGAAGAGTTTAATGCTGTTTAAGAACCAAATCCCACAAAAAGGAAACAGACATTTTAAATTAAAAATTAAACTTTTCAGGTTGATGTCAGCCCAAATAGAGATCAGAAATAAAATTAAGATGTCAGGCATCGTGGTGAAATCAGGCTCTTTTCAAAATAATTAAATCAAAGAAACCAGCATTATTCCTCCGGTATGTTAATTTCTGTCAAGTTTTTCTTTTTTGGGGGGTAACACCTTGAATGTTCATTTAAAAACACATTTCTGTGTAGATTTTACTGAGAAACCTTGGTTCAAGGCACAAAAAATGTAAATTTTCTGTTCCTAGGGGCTCTCAAGCTATGGAAGTCACCCCACTTTGGCAGCCATTTTCTTGCTAATTTTACCACGGAAACTCGACTTCTGTTCAAGATATATGAGTATTTTTTTTCATTGAAGGATAGACAAATGAACAAGCTTTAAGGCGATACAATTACCTCTCCACTCCCAAAAATTGATGAGTGCTTGATTCCACTGTATCGTGACACAAATTGAGAATACAGTATACTACCCAGCTTTTTACAGAACATGTGTTGGTTTCTACCAAGGAAAAAATGTAGGGTATGTATGAGCAATGAAGTTGAATGAAGTTTTTTATTTGACAGCTTCGTGGTGCACTGACTGCATTTTACATGTAACTCCCTCGTGTATGTTTCTTTTTTGATTTTTGTAGATTGTTTACATGAAGCTGTTGTGCAAAAAAACAAGGTGAAAATGTGTGTGTGTGTGGGGGGGGGTAGTGTGTGTGTGTGTGTGTGTCTACCTATGTGTGTGCAAACATATGTGTGTGAATATGTGTGGGCAAATGTATGTGTGTGTGTGTGTACATATGTGTGTGCAAAAGTCTGTGTGTGTGTGTGTGTGTGTACATATGTGTGTGCAAAAGTGTGTGTGTGTGTGTGTGTACATATGTGTGTGCAAACGTATGTGTGTGTGTGTGTATAAAAGTGATATGTAATTTTCTCCAGACTGTTGTACGTACAGGTCTGCGTACCATTTAACCAGCAGTACCAGAGTTTCCAGCCTAGGGCAAAACATAACTTTTGTTTGTTTTTCTTTTCCTTTTGCTGCCTTTTGAAGTGTTCCTATCAGGTTGGGAGGTAGCTCAGCTGGTATCGTGCTGGTCTTTGGCACAAAGATGTTGGCTCGTTTTTGTTTTTAAAAAACCCAAAACTCCTCTATGAAATTGTTCTAGGAGTTTTCAATCAAAGCTCTCCACAATGCAAGCATTTCTTCGAACACCCCCTCCCTCCCTCCCCCCGCCCACGTTGTTTAGATATTGTTTGCTATGGTGAAAGATGCTTTATAATATACCATAATCTAATCTTCCCACCCCTCTTTCGTTGTAGGATAACGTTTGTTGAGGTGAAAGACGCGTTGAATTTGTACCGCACCCGAATTCCTCCTCACCCCCTTTCCGTTAGTAGAAAACGTTTGTTAAGGTGAAAGACTCATTGTACTTATTATACCCAC